ATCAGCCTGTTTCTGTATGTGGTTACGTGTGGTAGCAGAAGCCAACATCAAAGATCTCAACCACTTGTCGCACACTCAACATCCACTGCCGGCGACTACTGACTGCCCTACTGTATTATACACACGCACAAACATATACACAATCATCGCTTTGTTGCCTGCCGCAATCTAATTAAGTCATTTGACTTGAAATGAAATTAGAAAAACTAAAATTAAAGAAATTTACGTTTATGAGACAATTCAAGAGATGAATAAATAAGAAAAAAAAAAGAAAAATAAAAAAATATAATTTGAAAAATCCTCATCAGCGGCTGCGTTTTGACAAAAAAATTCTCTACCGCACACGAAATACTCATACCTTTACAGACACACGGACATACATACATAAAATTAAAAGTGCTCGCAGCTCTAGCCTCGAGAAACGCGTTGACACACGCTGATGTTGCACCTTTAGCCGCACGGCTTTGGCAGTTGCAACACATTTTTCATTTTCTTTATCTCCAAATGTTTCTCTTAATTCTCTATTTTCCTCAATATTTTTATCACATTTTCTTGATGTCACCCGGCAAGTGCTGTTAACGATCAAAATGCTCGAACGGCCACCCACGTACCGCTGGATGTTGCTGCGTCAGCCCGCTGGTGCTTGGCAAGTTGCAATGCTGTGCTGCCAGCCACACAATGACTGTCCTTTCATCTCTAGTTGCTACTGCGGATGAGTATTTTTAGTTTTTTTTCTGTTGATATTTCATATTCGTGTTAGTATTTGGTGTGCTCCTGTTGCTTCTTTGACAACCTGCAGCGCGAATTGTTTAGCCCTTTTAATGGTTGAATGCATTGCTACGGATGGAGGTCTTGCAGGAAACATTTGTCTCAGATATGACTTCTGTTTTCAACATCTACTTTGCACCATTTAAGAATTACGTATACAAAATTAGCTGCGGAAAATCGTAAGGAAAGAGTTCAAAAAAGAATTGGCAGGCAATTTCTCCTCAGACCAGATCGAAAGATAATAAGAATCGGCATGTAAACATTTTTTTCCAATTGTTGCACCAATCGTTTGTTAGGTCCATAAAATCAAAGCCTCCTTATTATGAGCTTTGGCCCAGAGAACTGTTTCTAACTTTTCGATGATGTTGAATTTTTCTTCAGTGCAGAGCGTGTATTCTGACTGTGAGTGGTAGCGAAAGAACAGATGCTTATGCTTCCTATTTGTATGGCCAGTTGTTGTAATTTATAGTTAAATTATTGTTGTCAAGAAAATTTGACGAACCTAAGTACAGAATCGGATGTATAAGTTAAAGAAGCGCAGGTTGGCACTTTGAACCAAAACATTCGAATGTTGAAGACTCGGGTGAGTAGGTAGGCATTATACTTTTTGCAGATTTATTGAGTAGACAAATGGTCTTGAGGCGGCTCAAGCTGTTTGTCAGCAGTGAGCTGTATTCAAGCTACAACAAACTTATTCGCTTCCGGAGTGTAGGCAGTGTGAGAAGGCCTTTTACCAGTACTTCATTTCCTACAGGGTCAGATTTATTGAGTAGACAAATGGTCTTGAGGCGGCTCAAGCTGCTTGTCAGCAGTGAGCAGCATTCAAGCTACAACAAACTTATTCGATGCCGGAGAGTGCTGAATTCACTCGTGATCAAATCAAGACTACCTTTCACCAGTACTTTATTTCCTGCAGGGTCACTTCTCAGCTGCATTTATACCTTCAGTTAATGTCTTCCTCCTTTGCTTATCAAAATGCTGAAATATCCTGCGTTGATATAATTCCACTTTTATATATTTTACTTTTTACATTAATAATTATTTGGAGTTTTTTTTACAGGTGGCTGCGCACTTAATCCTAACAAACGGATAATAATACCTCACTCAGAGCGAGCGAGACAATTTTTATTCAATTTTATTTCCACAATTTATGCATTTCTCTTACATTTTCCAATTTTTTCAACATTTTTCATATATTTTTAATTTTTTTTTATTTTTATTATTATTTTTTCTTGAATATTCATTTCCCAACAGCTTTGCCATAATCACTTTAATCCGCAGCGTGCAGCTGAGAATAGAAATTTTTATAGTTTTCTTTCGACTTTTGACATTTTTTCGCTCACAAAACAAATATCCGCTTTCAGAAGCAGAACGAAAAAATTACAAAAAAAAGAAAAAAAAAAAACGAAAAGCGTGGAAAACCGGCAGAAATCCTACATGCAAACCTGTGAATGTGGCGCAAAAGCGAAAGGATGATGAACTATATAATAGCGCGTTGACAAAGGCGAGTTAAATGAATTTCAAAAAAAGAGCAGGAACAATCAACGGAGAGTGAAATAATATCCAGGTCATTTTACAACAATTACCAGGCAGCGCATCCCTGGCAATAGTTATTTATTGCATTCCCTTTTCTGCTTTTACTTATCGTTTTTTATTGCAGTCTTTGCCGCGCATGAAATTTTTAACCTATTATCTCGCGGCCACTCGGTCATTTCACTCCACACATTCTGTTGGTCATTCCCGTTCATGAGTCCCACGGTTTGTTTGTTTGGGTCGGTTGTACGCTCTTTAGTCCGCGCATTTTTTCCGGTAGTCAGTTTTTCATTATTGTCGCAGATTCTGTGATAAATGGCCAAAAATGGCGTAAAGAGATATGAAAAAGAAATGAGAGTAAGAAAAAACTAAATAGGCAACAGGATCAGTTAGTTGCAGCATGCGCCGGCTGCCATCTGACTGTTTGCTGAGCTGCTGAGTTGTTACCCGCTGGCACAGCAGGGGGTAGCACGCACATGCACCTGTCTAAAGGAATAACCTTTGAGCCAGATTTTGTTCTCTCAATTAATATTTGAGTGTATGTGGTATTGTGAAATGAAAAAGAAAGCAAACCAAAGTCCATATTTAGTCTTTGTACGAAAATTATTATTTTTTTGAGCTCAATTCAAAAGACTCTTACTGTCGTAAGGATTAAAATTGGAGTATTTAAATCTTTCAAAACACTGCGGTATTATAGAACAAAGATATTTATTTATGGTTCATAAGTGTCCAAAGAGAAATATAGATTTATGATGTGGATATATTTGAAAGGCTTAAGAATGGTATGTTTTCGGTTTGAGCGCATTTCTTGAGTATAATAAATGGAATATCCGGCTTATTTTTATACAAAAAAATATTTCTATTTAAATAAACAAAAAAAAAGATTCAAATAAAAAAAATGAAAGGTTATGGTAGGTGAGAGGGAGTTTTTTCTGGTAAAATATAACTTTTATTTCTTATTTAAAATTGATGAGATGATGCAATTTCGGTCGCTGTTCAACAGGGAATTTCAAGCCCTTCGAGTGTATTTCTGACATGAAAATCAAAGCCCCTCATAAAAATCCAACGGCCGTTCGGAGGTGGCTTAGATAAAGTTGGAAAAACATCAACACCAAAAAGTAGAGGAGAAGCTCGGCCGAAAATCGCATCAGCGGTTACAAGGCGACAATCATATATAAGGCATGATCTGAGAAGTACTTTTTCCAGCATCTATTTTATGATAGACGTGTGAGCTGTCATGCTATTTTTGTTCTTTTTTTTGGGTCTTTATCAGGAAAAGACTTACGCCTGAATAACCTTTCCAAATCTTACAAATGTATTAGGAAAAGCCACGTCCTATAAAGAATATCTTTCGCGCGCTTCGCCCAACTTATGGTCAACATAATCGGCCTACTGAGCGTACTATTCACAACACCATCACCTATCCTGAGGCCGAGCATTTATTATTGGCTATTCAAGAGTTGTAATTTCATCCAGAAAAACAACGGTTTTTTTTCTTCAAAAATGATGCTGGTGAGAGCGTAACCGACAATGGCCACCGTTACCGCGCCATGATAACCAACTATTTGATACCTGAAATTGAAGCTAACGATCTTGGCGACATTTTGTTTATCAATGGATATATTGAGAGAACACTTCGGTGAGCAGTTAATTTTACGTTTTGGGTCGATCACCCATCAAGATCGTGTGATATCACAACGTTTGAGTTTTTCTTGTAGTGGTCATGTAAAGTTTGAAACCTATGCGGACAATTTCGCTTTGTTTCAGGCCTTGGAGCAAAGCATCACGTATCGAAATACTCGAACGAGTCACCGAAAATGCGACTGGGATGGGATGGACCATCTGAGACTATCGAGAGAGGTAATCCTCAAAAGAAAGTGCCAAAGAATGTTCTTTCGAATGATAATAAACATTCACCATTAAATTTGATTTTCCTGTGATTTTTTTCTTTCAAAAAGTAGGAACCTCGAAATATTGTAGATCTTTCTTCAAGTGTACGTACGGCTGTGTAAACTGAAGCCGAGCAGAACCAAAACCACTGTCAGAATCGGAAGAGGTCTAACTATGTTGTTAAATAATAAAGAAGATTTTAAGCAAGGCGTCTCTCAAACTTAACGCCAGAGAAAATAAAATCAGGTGCAAAACTAAACAGAGAAAGCATAACCTTCTATAAAATCATAGAGCAACTGTGATGTGACAACTTTAGACTGAACATAGAAGCACAAAACAACGTGTCACACCACAAACAGGAAGCGTACTCGCGCCACACAACTTTCTTAACTAAGCAATACATTGTTAGCAAACTTAAGGAGAGAGGTTTTGCGAAAAATGTATGGTCTGTTGCGTACCAAGGACGTAGAGTACCATTGACGGTGAAACGTTGAGTTGCACGATATACTCGTATAGGCGGCATCAGTGGTTACGGTGATTAATTCATATTTACCAATTGGATCCATCTATTGAAATTTTCGAGCTGGTGAAACCAGAGGAAGATAAAGACTTCCATGAGGTTGCTAAGAGCAGATGTGGAAAGTAATGGCCGCTCAACTGAGAAGAGCAGAGGAGTATGATGGATTGCTTATTAGCTTACCCTATTTAATAAGAACAAGGGGAAGCCTGTTGTTACTGTATTTATTTTCAATGTGTGAAACGAAGTATGCGGGGTGCGGTTGTTACAAAATCGAAACTTCATTGTAAAAGCTGGATTAATTGACTGAAGTTCTTTAATTTCCTTCAGAAGTCTTAGACTTCAAAAAGAAAAGAAAACAGAAAAAAATAACATACCTCTTATTAAAATGTCTCGGGAAGAAAAACAGAATTTTACAACATAATAAAGCTCACTTTGAGTGCTGGTCGCAGCAGGGACGAGTGGTTACCAGTGTTTTCAAAGTGCAATATAGTGATGGATTCAAGCTCTGGCCAGACCAACTTATCAATATTAGCTTCTAAGCAGAGAGTGCCGGTCTCTCCGATATAAAATATAATAAAAACTTTGTAACCGGTGTAGAGATTTTTAGCCGAGCTCCTGCTCCAATTGGTTGTGAGCGTTCTGATGCTTTCCAACAAATGTAAGTATATATAGCAAATACTAAATCCTCTTTCAATGGCTGATTTATTATTATGAGGAGCTTTTGCTCGGAGGGCGATCGCAATTCGAAAATAATTTGTACGTTATTCGGACTTGTACTCTGGACATTGGATTGTGGCCTTCCGAATGGTAGTTCGCAATTCTAACCACTCGGCTATTATAGCTTCAGCTTAAGAATCCCTCAGGCATTCAAAAGCGGCTTAAAAGTCTCGGTCTCTCTACTATCTACTACTATCTCTACTATCATTAGGAAACACAACAAAAATCAAAGAAAAAGGTGGAATATGAAATTTATGGAAAGTGAAAGGTGGAAAACAACGTAAAATGGCTCTTAATAACTGCTAATATCAGGTAAGCCGGCTCTTTTAAGGTTTCTTTAAATAATGTTTAAATCTGTCGGATGAAGGGAAACATATCAGTACCGAGAACCACTCGGACTTTGTTAACTGTGTCTTGACAATCTCATTCAGACCAAAATTAAGGAAAAGGAAGGGAAGGTAGTGCCCGGGTTACATTCAGCTGAATTTATATCTTTCCGACGGGAGCCAATTGCGATGCCAAAACGACGCGTCCAAAACCCTAAGCAAATAAATGAATTTTATTTTATTCCCCATTCTAATTTGTGGTTTCGCTAAAATATAAATTGAGTTCTTTAAATTTCATGTTTTTGACTTTGAACTCACTCACACATACACACATAACTGAAGCAGTTTAATCTGAGAGCAAATAAAACAATCAAAAGATAAAGACTCCACATATATAAGAGTATATATGTATGTATGCGTGTACGTTGGAAACAAGCTACCAACGAACTAACTAACGAGTAACAAAGGACGCATAAGCTCTGCTTCAGCAACTAATCCGTACAATCGCAACAATAGTGCAACTTAATCCAACACAATTCCAACGAACAAATCCACGAGCCCAACTCATTTCATGGACGCGTGCTTGGGTAAATACCAAAAGCAAATAGACAAATACAAATACAAATACAAATGAAGGCATAACGACGCACACACACACACATAATCTTTATATGTGTATGTTTATGTGTAAGTGAGTGTCTGTGTATGCTTCCATATTCGTATGATAAAATAAAGTGAGGATTAAAATACAACATTCATTTTGTGGTTTCTGGTTGCATGCTTAGCGGTCGAAGCGTGGCAGTTGTGGCTATAATAAAAGCAACAACAACATACACAATAAAAATAAGGAAATAACAGCCTCAATGTGGTAGTGGAACTTTTCGCTTACTGCCGCTCCTACCAAAACTTGGCGCCACCACCAGCCACCGAACTTCAATCATCAGCCACCAGCGTTCAGCGTTGACTTTGTTGGAGGGCAACATTTTGTCTTCATAGCGCTTGTTTGCTTGAGATTTTCACTGGTGTTGGCAGCGAGCGGCGGCGACACTCCGCAGAGGAAGCTTTAAGCCTATACAAATAGCTGCAATAGATAGTAGGAAGCAGCGGCTGCTGGTTTTGTTGGTGTTTTTATTGTGCGTTTTTAGTATTTGAAATATACTTTCAGTAGCATTTCATTGGGTTCTGGAGCGTTGTTGGGTTTAGGGCTTAAGGGACAGCAAGTGCAATGCATGTAACTGTTCTTTAATACTTAATATATACATATATATATATATATGTATACATGACTACATAGACAAAAGTAGGCTCCCAAACGGCGCGATTTGCTCAAATCCTCTGCAGTACTTTTATGCTTTTGACTTTTGCTCTTATTCATGTGAAAAGTGTTGCTGTGGGGGTGTGTGTGTGTGTTGGACAAAAGCCCCTCGCTGTATTTGTCGCTTAAGTTTTACCAGCTTTATTTATTTTTATCATTTGTATCCTACTTCACTCATTTTGTTTTGCTCTCTTTGCGCACTTTTCTATGTCTTCTTAGTTAGTTCTTGTTCTTGATTTCCTCTATACCTATGTGTGTATTGTATATATACGTGTAGATGTATGTGTGAGTTTCATGCTTTTATGCTTTATATGAAAAGCTGCAACGGCCGCTAGAAAAAAGAGGGGAGCTTTTATTATTCCTTTTGCGTTTTCACACACACACACGCACATACGCCCATACATATCTACATCAACAAATGTACGCCGCATGCATGGATATGTCTACAAAGCTCTTTCGTTATGTAGGTATGTATGTTTGCGTTCCTTGTGTATGTCCTTTTCCAACTCGGTGTTGACATGATTTTATTTTCATTTCCATTTTTTATTTTACTTTTAATTTTATTTTCACTTTTTCTTTCTCGCTGCACATTCCACTCGAAAAGACGTCGAACTCGAAATTTATGTTTTGCAATTTTCTATTTTTTACCACTTTTTTTTTGTTAATTTTTTGCATATTTTTTTTTGCTCCTTTTTCTACTACACACTTAGAAAATGTTGCGCCGCTTGAGTATGTGTCGGTGAGTATGCCGTCTCATTATGAAATACATTCTAACATACAGTTTTATGCATATATATGTATGCGCATGTCTTCATGTGTTGGCCTTCTTCTCAGCACAACACTTCAACATTTCTATACAATTTGCAATCAGGATATTCACCAGCTCATGGAAGATATCCTTGTGCCTTTGCGAGCATATTTCCATCTACCATACAAAATACATCTTCGCCTCGTTCATTAATTCGCTCGCTTTGTTTTCCACAAACAGCGTGTAATTTCCATAAGAGTTCACAACAGCTCCATCTGCCAGCTCCCATTCTTTTCCAGCTGCTTCTTGGACGTGTGTGTGTGTTCAGATTGAGGTGTATGTATAGTGGGGCGTTTTGAGTTTTAATCTGGAAAAATACATATATAATATTATGTGACTGTAAGATATGCTCCTCTCTTCGGATTGTCAGTTTGAGAGAATGATGTAGTCGAATTGTTGATGTCAGAAACCTTTAGGCCGAACCAAAGGAGAATCGATTTAACGAAGGGCAGTAAGTCATCCAAGTAATAGGTGACATAGGTGTATCATGACTTTGCCAAAAACTCTCTGGTTCCCAGGATTTGATTGAAAAAGAAGAAATTCTGTCTTCTTTCAGATTTCCTTTGACAAGTTATCCCTGAGGCAGCTCAGAGCAGTCGGAGCTCCTAGCAAAACAATATTTGTGTTTTTTTTTTTACCAAAAATTGTTTGACTGAAAGCCTTCAACTGGAGTCAAAGATGAAGTTATAACGAAAAGTCCATTGCGACTCTTTCCAGAAGTTGCGATAGCTTCACTAAAAGTTCTCGTCTTGAGTCTTGAATGCGCCTACCGAAACCCTTGCCTTCGTGATGAAAGCTTCGATGACCTGCCGCCAAGTACTGTGGGTGGATTATTATAAAGTCCTAGTGGATGATAAATAACCGTCTATCAGTATATCACATTAGTTAACAACTATACATAAGGATGCCAGGGCTTTCATGAATTATTCGGAGAGGTATGAAGATTAATGCTCTTTGTTAATTTTATAGTTCTCATCTGTGGCCTAATTTACCCAGCTTAGCTCCATAGATGGAGTCATACATATAAATTAAAAGTCAGAAACTAAACTGGCTTCGTCATGTAGGCCCCAACGGACGAGGCTCCGGCAAACTTTTCGACGCAGTACTCGTTGGCGAAAGCAGAATAGGGAGACATCCATACCGTCGAAAATATCAGGGGGAGAAGAACTTGTCTTTTTAAAGTGTTCCCAATCAGTAGTATTTCCGCCGATTTATAGCCGCAGAATAAATATCTTTGACGGAGCCCCTTTCCAAGTTTTCGTAATGCATTTTGATATTTTTTCTAACGAATGGAGATACCTCCAGAACTTTTCTTAGCTACTTGCATGGCTTATAGATTCATGTTAGAAATAAACTCCGTGATGTTGACACTTCCTGCCGAGGGCGCACTACGACCCTTTGCAGGGTGGCTGGTCGACTGCTGCGACCGTCAAGCAAATAAATTAAATCCTTTATTTAAGCGAAATACACCACTGTGCTATTGTGGCTTATTGGAGGACATTGCCACATGCCCTGCCGCTCCCAATACGTAATGCCCAGTCCAAAATTTAGACTACCACTTCAATTTTCCGGTTGCAACGGCGTTGGTGAAAGTGAAAATAGAAAAAATAAAAATACGAATATGAGGAAAAAGAATTTTACACTTCGCCAGCAAATGGAAGGCGGAAAAAAATTAGCGCAAATAAAACAAAACCAAAAAGAAGTGAAATGGAAAGCGAATGAGTCGAGAAAGGAATAAAAACTGTATTACGTACGAGTCTGTATTATGAAGAGGCGGGCGAACAAATTGACAAAACAACAAATGAGAGAAGAATGCAACAAATAAAACCAATAAATAGCGTGAGCATAGGAGAAAAAGTGAAGGTAGCGCAAAAGGCAGTAAAGTTCTGGAAAGGAGTGTAAATACAAAACAAGATAGGGAGAGTAAGTAGGGAAAGCGCATTGACATAACTGTATGTTGGCTCTAATAATGAGCAAAGTTATTGTTGTAATGAGTTTTCTATTGCTCTCCCCCCCCAAAACAAAGAAAAACAAACACGAGCGATGACAGTAAAGTCACATACACGTATTGCCCCCTCTGCTTACTGCTGCTGCTGGTCTTGTTCCACTTACAGGTTACTTTCTAACACATTGAAGACTACAAGTTTTCATGTACTGTGTGGATGCTTGACGACGAGATTGTAGGGAGTGATAACGACAAAATCAGAGCGACGACAATGAGCACTCACTGCCAACAACAACAGCAACAACAATAAGTGACAAAAACGACAACGCCAGCAACGACAACAGCAACAGCAACAGCAACGACAGAGCCATCAACGATAATGACAATCTCTATTGCACGTTCTTCGCGGATAACATATGTCGCCGTTATGCTAACGAAAGTTGTCGCTCGGATGGTGGTCGGGAAGTGGCGAATGGATGAGAGGAGGAGCGACTCTGTGCTTCAAAGTTTGGGCGTACCAAAAATGTGCGCGCAACTGGAAATTACACTTGAACATTTTGTTGTTCTTCGTAAAATGACGAAATGTGAAAAAGCCCAAAGTTAAAGTTTGAACATAAGTAATTGTGAAATGAATGCACATTTTGCTGGATTTGTTGATTTTCCTTGTTTTTTTTCTCTCGAAGCTCGAAGAGCAACACATTTGTCAAAACTTTTGGTTTGCCGAGCTGGTTCTGCAGGTTTTTTTTTATTTCGGGCAATACTTCGTGCAGGAGTGTGTGGGGGAGGCGGTGATTTTTTGTCTCTCTTGATGGGCTCATTATCTACGTCAGCTGTTCTAATGCATTTGTCTTACTGAATCGGATATTTGTGTTTTAATGGGAAGCTCATCCCTTTGAATTCGCTTAATGTCACTATAATTAGCGGATCTGCTTGGAAACCCAATTTCAGTATGTGGTTCTCAGTCTATAGCTTAAAAATAATGGAGGCTAGACCCTGTTAGGCTTTACAGGGATGTCGCAGGTTTCATTTCCCACTTGAAAGGATGTTAGTAAAGTCTACGTCTTCTATTTATGCACAGGTTTTTTGCTCGGCGGATCTTAGATAAAAGTACTGTGTTCACTACAAACAAATATCTCAGCTATGCCTGAGGCTGCGGGCTGCAATACCGAGCTTTCAAATACGCAGGCTAGGCACA